CTGTCTCATCCTATACTGCATAGTACAAAAAAATCCCACCAAGAATCAACACATCTCTTGATAGACAGAAGGAAAATGGGGGGGGGGAGGAACAGCATATTGTTTGAGTTTTAATCTGTCACATCTTTATACAGATGTTAATATAATCTGCTAATGCTCAGATCTGAAGGCATCTACTGGCATGATGTCTTTCACCTGTAAGACACCATTTCACAAAGATCTTAATCTTTGGCTTCTCTTTTAACTTACTCTGTCCAGTAAGAGATGCAGTTTAGAAATTGTTCTGACATTAATATACCCTGGGGAAGAGCCTATGTATCAACTTGTTCATATAATGAGACATATAGAAAGCTGCTATAGGACAACACTGGCTCCCTCAGCTGAGACACAAAGATGAGCACCACCCCCTAGAGTCAGACATGACTTGACAGGGGAAACCTTTATCTTTACCTTTATATAACAAGATAAAACCATAGGCTTAGATTGGTCAGTTTTGTTCATTAAAAGAATGGGAATTCTCTGAAAGTTAGCCATTCTGGGTAAATCTACCAACTGAACCACTAGCGGGGTACATTCGTTAAAGACTTAGACTAGGAATGAGGAGACCCAAGTTTAGCTTTACTCTCCACCATGGAAAACCACCTGGTGACTCACTCTCTCTCCCTCTCTCTCTCTCTCTCTCTCTCTCTCTCTCTCTCTCTCTCTCTCTCTCTGTCATGTTCCTCAGTTCAACACAAGAGGATTTATTTGTTTGTTTATTTATTTACTGTCATTATTTTAATAAATAACTCAATGTGGTGAACACATCTGCCTCCTATTTTCCCTACAACAATAACCATGTGAGGTGGGTTGGGCTGAGAGAAAGTGACTGGCCCAAAGTCACCCAGTTGGCTTTTATGGCTAAGACAGGACTAGAACTCAGGGTCTCCTAGTTTCCAGCTTGGTTATTTCTTTTATCGCAGTAACTAGCTCAGTTGTTCAGGTAAGAGAAAACATTTGTATGTTGTCTCGAGTGCTTGGAGAAAGGACAGTAGAGTATTCTAACTTATTAGTAAATAACTGGACACCTTCTTTGTGCCAAATATGTGCTTTACTACTTATTATTCCATATAATTCAATAAGGACTTATTCAAGGTTAATGAAATCAATGCACTCTCCTATGGAGTCTGTTTAGTATGGGGAAGAAACTCGAAGAAAAGCTATGGCACTGAATTCCATTGTTGTCACAACTGATGCCCATCTGTTCAACTGTAGTTGAAGGACAGTTTAAAAGCCTGAAAGCTATATCTTTTTATTGCTGCTATTAATTATGTTCACAGTCATTATAGTATAATCTTTAAAAAATTAGATTGTTAAAGTTTGTGTTATGTTTTTTTAATTATACTGTAACCTGGCCTTCAGCTTGGAGGAAAATAGTATATAAATTTGGATAGCTATAGATAGACGGTGGCATGTGAAGAATAGGTTTAACAAAAATGGTACCAAAAAATGTATTGATACTATACATTTATATTAGGTTTTGTTTTAATATAACAGTTTAGGGCTAGAGAAAGAATTCTCCTGCATTTCCCCCCCACCATTTGTCATTCAATCTAATGAAACAGAAATTACTTTAGAATTATTTTAAAGGTAGACAACATTTCAATTAAATTGTCAAGTGTAGAGTGTGTGGCACTTTTGCACATACATAGTTACAACATAGAACATGCGTGACTTTCTTTTTATTGTACAATCATCGGTCCAGTGGTTTGCGGACTTCCTTGATTCCTATACTCCAATTATATTCTAAGAGAAGGCATTTTAAGGGAACTCCTTTTGTTGAGCTTTTTCAATAGTTGGGCTACTCTCCCCAAGAAAATGGAATTTTGAGAAAATGTTGCCGAGATAATCAATCTCAAAAACTGTGTTACTTATACATACAGTATATTAGAGAATTTTGAAAAAATATTTGTGTTCCTTTGAGGCAGGTCCTATAAAGGCATTGTTGGTATTCATATGTAAGCTCATCCTGCTGCGTATCTTCCAGCATGTCTCTTTAATTGTGGTTGGGTTCAACAAGCTAATAGACTTTGTATACTGGGAATCTTTCTTTATCAAGGAAAAATAATAAATTAATTCTAATGTATGTTTATTCTAATTCATAGTATAAATATACATACATAATTGTGCTTTTATTGTATTTGAATTTCTGTTAGTCACTGAGAATTGCATTGATGAGATGGGAAACCATATAAATTAATATAAATTAACAAAGATTACAGGGATTAATGTTTGGTTGAAAACCCTTATAGGAAGTTACCATCTGTTTCTTCCAATCCAATCAAACAGAATATTCTGTTTGCTATTTCGGGTTCTCCTCTCTTGGATAAGATCACTGGCCCAAAGGTAGACAGTACATCGAGGATGGATAGATAAATCGATTTATGTTCTGTATCATTTTTGTAAGTTTACACAGGAGTCTAGAGAGAAAAAAAGGATATTAAAATTGTTAACTCACAAATATAAACATTATTAATGAAAATGTATATTTAATTATTTTCACTCTAAAAATAAGTGTTTACCTAAAATTCATATTTTAATATGTGGTTAATTGAAGTTTTTCAGAACTTTAGTGCAAAATCACACACAAAACAGTTTTCTGTGGAAGAATAAATCAAGTCAGTTCAGTGAATACCTGTAAAGGGCTGTGAACCTTCAGGGAAAGGAAGAAGAGTTGCAGCCTAGACAACATTCTGTTAAGAGAAAGCTAAGTCCAGAAGAGTAGAGGTGAAGGATGTATCTCAGAAGAGATTCTCCTTTAGACTCAGATTTTTTTTTTTAGTAGACCGTTGTTCAGTAGAGCAGGGACCCCAACCCTTGGGCCATGGCCTACTAGGGGACTGTGGCCTATTAGGGACTGGGCCATGCAAGTGGCATATACAGCTCCACTCGTGTGAGCAGTGGGCCAGTACACACACGGCCTGGTTCCCTTCTTCCCCCAATCTGGACTGCCAAGCCACAGAGGTTGGGGACTGTTGCATTACTGGATAGCTTCTGCTTTTTAGAATCAATTATTAATAGTAAAGAAGTCCGTAGTTATAAGAAATACTCCAGAGACTAGAACTTGGTAGCAATGAGGACCTTGGAAAAGATAGTTAGATGCTGTGATGTGTTTATACTTACAAAGGAATTTTGCAGGCACTAGATTTAGTGATGATATTCTACACCCTGTCAACTTAAGGATACGTGGTGTCCCAAGGACACATTAATGGCACCACCTCTCACCAATGCAAAAATTGGTTCTCACCAATGCAAAGATTGATATTTTAGAAGAAGGGAGAGCAGTGGTGTTTCCTAAGTTTTGATCCCTGGATCATTGCCTATTTGATCTTAACTTAAAGCTAGCCCTAATTCTATGGAAGTGAAATTTGGACTCTGGAAAAGTAGGTAAGGTAGATTATTGATGCTTTTTGTATTGGAGAAGAGTCCTGAGAATACAATGGATAGCCCAAAAAATTACCTAATGAATCACTGAAAAAAATCAATACAAGATTTTCATGAGGCAGAAATTAATCTATTTTGGACATATTATGTGAAGATATAACTCTCTTAAGAAATCTGTAATGGGAGAAGGGAGAAGGGAGAAGGGAGAAGGGAGAAGGGAGAGGGAGAGAGAGAGAGAGAGAGAGAGAGAGAGAGAGAGAGAGAGAGAGAGAGAGAGAGAGAGAGAGGGGGGGGGGGGAGAAAGGGGATTATTACAGTGAGAGTGGAGGCATCACCAGAAGACTCACAGAGTCAGGGTGGGATAGATCATAGAGAGCCTGTTTGGTCTAGTGATTAAGATGCTGGCCCAGAAACCAGACCAGCTGGTTCTAGTCCCATCTTAGGTATAAAGTCACTCTTTCTCAGCCCAACCCACTCACAGGATGATTGTTGTGAGGAAAGTGAGAGGAGGAAAGATTACTATGTATGTTTGCCATTTTGAGTTACTTATAAACTAATAAAGGAGGGATAAAAAATCTAATAAATACATAAATAGCTCGTCCTGTAGAAAGTCTATTTCTGTGGTTGCTAAGAGCTGATACTGCCTTAATAGCACATCTTCAGTCAGGAAAAGTTGTTGCCTTTAATAATAAGGTGTAGTTATGTAATTCTACTGAACTGTGAATAATACAAGTATTTAATTACTCTAATTCCTCTCACCCAAAAAAAAATGATTTTTTTTCTCTTTTTTTCTTCCCTGTAGATGCTGGCCAATTATACAGAGGAAACACTTGAAATCAAAGTGATTTAACAATCCACACAATAATTAGGAAAATAAATGTCAAAAAGACAAATAAATTGACAGAAGTGATTTATCTACTAACTTTTTTTTAAAGTACATTTTGTTTAGATTGTATTTTAGGAGATTAGCCAATGAATGTTTAGACAACAGAAAAACCTACTTGCCCATTATGAATAAGTACCAGGAAAAGATGGAGTACTAATTATAATGTCAAGTTCAGATATGTTAGTAGCTACAGTGTATACCAATTTATAGTGGTAGATTATCAATGATTCAGTCAGTATAAAGAATAACTTTTAGTGTTTTATATTTTCTTCAAAAAAGCGCAAAATATGTTTTTCCCTGCTATGCTCATTTTTTTCCCCATTGCTTGTTGGAAATTTGTTTTTTTTTGGGGGGGAGGGGATGGAGGGCTGGCATAGGTAACTGTGCATATATTTCCAGTTAAACTTTGCAGAAAAAAATGTACCTTTAATGTTTAGCATAGAAAAAAAGTAGAAAACAGAGTTTGTAGATTTTAGTCCCGCATTTAAGATGCTGATTTTAAAACTCAACAGAAATGATGAATTTATCACAGCTTTATTTATTCTAAAGGTGATCAAAATAGAATTCACTTCAGATGTACAGGCCTAGTGTTCCTGAGGTCAATACAGACAAGTGGAAGGGTTATCATTAACCTGAGGACCAGCTAGCAGCCTTTCTTGATGAGATTTAAGTAACAGATTCTATCCAATAGGACTCATGATCTAATGACATCTGCATCACATGGGGTTTATTTGATCACTCTGCTGATGCCACTATTACTAAAGCTCCCATGGTAAGTTTGTATACTATATAGTATAAGTAGTGGTAATTTCATTCCATGTTTGTAACAATCTGCATATCATTTTAAATTTGCAAGTGATTAAATCTGCATTATAGTCAGAAATGCAATGCCTCTTTCTAGTAAGTGTCCTTCTTATTGAGAGTGTTGGAGGAATGAGAAAGCTTTGGATCTTGAAAATCCCAGATCTGTTTTGATCATCAGCATGCGTTTGACATGCTTCTTTTTTTTCTAAAAGAACATCAGTGACAGAGGACCAATGGAAGTAGATTTTCACTGTCTCAGTGGGATTGCTATTCTCCTGTGTCTGCAGATTTCCTTCTCCTCTTACAAGTGCTTTAAAATCCTGTGTCTCAAGGATATTTTCTCAGAGACCATGGTATTGCATCTTAAATTCTAATAGTGAAAAATCTATATGCCAACAGAGGGAAAATATTTAGCTGGGAAATAAAGATTGGTTGCATAAACCAGTTATATAAATGATAATTACAGTTTTTCTTTGACCTTATCAGCTCCAATTTACATTCAAATTTAGAAAGGGAAAAAAATGTGGCTTAATGCATTCCTAGGGAAAGGGGAAAAATTTGGCTTAATGCATTCCTAGGTGATCTTAAGTTTCTTAAATACTGAAATAGAACATAAATTGCTTTTTTCCCTAATGTGTGCTCAGTCAAGATTTACACCAGGCCTGACATGTGATTTACTTTGGTTAATTGACAGATACTTTTCATTGTTGACTACCAAGCATAGCACATTGAGCAAAATAAGTTACCGGTATCTGTAGGACAAGAGAAAACATATTCTCTGAGCTTAATCATGGATTTTAATTGCCAGCCTTAATTTGAAAATAATTGTTCACAGCAATTAAGTAAATGCCCCAATTTCACTAACATACTTCCTAATTAGAACCTATAACATAAAACTGCCAATGTATGCTTCATTAGCTTTGATTTACTGTATCCAATACCTAAAAAAAAACCCATTTCCTGTTAGTTTTATCATGCACTAGTTCATGTCATATAACAATTGTACTAAATTTGTAATCTGTCCTGGAGAAAGTTTGATAATCAGACTATATTTGAATTTTATGTGTTATTTCTGATAGGCGATCATCCAAAAGTTAAAAAATGATGCTTTTACTATTATTTTGATTTATTATTTAGTTTAAATGCAGGAACAAAACAGTATGTAACACACACACACACACACACACATGCTTGCAACACTCTGTATTTCAAATTCTCATATTTTCCTTACTAACGTTTGTGGGTAAACATATGTCATATTTTACATTAATTTAATGTATGACTTGCCATTGTGGTCACATTAAATATGTGTGAGACTACAACATTAGGACCCAGCTTACCTAAGCAAAATCTTTGAGCAGATAAAAGATTGGTCTATTTTAAAATTATTACGAAGGAAAAATATGTTCTGAGGCATAGCCTTGCACAATTGCTTGGTTTAGCTGGATTTACATGGTTTTCTGAACTAAATTGCCATCCAATATACATAACATTTTCCATTTTGTTTTGCTTTAGTTCTACACCTTTCTTCTGTAAGACACCTCCAGACTGTTGTGAATTCCAGGAAAGCAGATAAGATCTGGTTTACTACCGGTATGTACTGTTTATACATTACTCTTAGATTTATGTGTGTGCTTGCATTAATGGCATTCTGTTTGGGAACAGACAAAAACAGGGCTGGGAAGGATGGAAAGAAAAAGCAGAAATAATCATGGTCAGCTAGGCCACACTACAATAATTTTGCTGCTATTAACTCTAATATATCCTGAAAGGAATGAAGTCTTGCAACCACATTATAGTCAAAATAGTAGAACCATTCTTCTACCAAGCAGAAAAAAGTCTTAATTTTTCTCAAAGACCTCTCTGTGATGATGACAACCAAGTGGTTGAAAGATTTTACAGTGCAATGAATACATAATTACCAGGAAAGAAGACAATACAATTGCAAAATTGTTACTTTGTATTTTAAGAGACCCACCCTACTCTTCAGTATAACTCCTAGTTATTTTTCCTTTTTTTGTTAGTTACCCTTACATTCAACTTCTAAGCTCTTGAAGCTCCACTCATATAAGTTTATCACACCTTCAAGAGAGCTAAACAATAGTTGGGTGAAAGGATCTCATTGTATTTCTTGCTTCTGAATTAATTGCTGTTCCAGCTCTTAGAATGTGCCTGTTTGACTAGTTGAAAGATGGTGGATTGCTCCCTTCATCTGAGCCCTAAGAGTATGAAATGAAAAATGTAAATGTAACATATGTTATAGCAACAAACATGATTAGGGGACTGGAGGCTAAAACCTATAAGGAACAGTTGCTGGAATTGGGTTTGTCTAGTTTAATGAAGAGAAGGACGAGGGGTGACATGATAGCAGTGTTCCAATATCTCAGGGGCTGCCAGAAAGAAGAGAGAGTCAAGCTATTCTCCAAAGCACCTGAAGGCAGGACAAGAAGCAATGGATGGAAACTAATCAAGGAGAGAAGCAACCTAGAACTAAGGAGAAATTTCCTGACAGTTAAAACAATTAACCAGTGGAACAACCTGCCTCCAGAAGTGGTGAATGCTCCAACACTGGAAGTTTTTAAGAAGAGACTGGACAGCCATTTGTCTGAAATGGTATAGGGCAGTGGTGGCGATCCTATGGCATGTGTGCCAGAGGTGGCACTCAGAGCCCTCTCTGTTGGCATGCGCACCACTACCGCCAGCAGCAGGTCCATCAGACCACCACTGCCACCCGGAGCAGGAGCCCCACCTAGCACAAAGGAGGCTAAGCGGCCAACTAGCAAGCTTGAGTAGAGGTGGTAGAGCAGAGGTCACCAACCATTGTCAATTGGTGGACTGGAAGAAAAGGGAGGGGGAAGCATTTTACATGCATGCATCCATGCATGGGGCTGCAAGCATGCATGTGCTGCAAATGGAGCGGGGCTAGCACCTGTTTGATACTCAGTAGCCCTGCCCCATTCTTGCATGGTACAGCCACTTGTATCTTCATCCCATGGCATCACAGTGGCTGTTTTTACGCCTTGCAGCATGGTGGGCCATTTTTGCGCCCCCGGTTTTTGCATGCCAGAGGCAGCACTCAGAGACACCTCCCTGCCCCTCCCTCTGAGGGCACCATAATGGTGATGCGGCCCTGTCAGTTTGCGATAAATAAATGGGTTTTGGGTTGCGGTTTGGGCACTACGTCTCTAAAAGGTTCGCCATTATTGGTATAGGGTTTCCTGCCTGAGCAGGGGTTGGACTAGATGACCTCCAAGATCCCTTCCATCATCACCACAACCACCACCATTATTATTATTATTATGGATCATCGCACAGTCAGCCAGATGTTCAGACTGGATTTGGCATTCTGTCTACCTATCGAGTCCTTACCCAGGACCTGGGATAGGCAGATGTGGATGTTTGATGGTGTTACAGATATCGTCGCAGGATGGAAGCAGTTCCTAGTGAGGCCACTTTTTGCAATTGACTAATAGCGAATTTGTCAATGCCAATGGTGTTCAAGTGGTGCTCCAGTTGTTTTGGGATTGCACCCAAGGAGCCTATCACTATTTGTACTACTCTTGCTTGCTTTTGCCACAGTCTTTCTATTTCTATTTGTAGGTCTTTGTATGTGTTATGTTGCAGGTGGTTGTCTAATTGAATTCTGAAGTCCCAGAGCAGTTTAATTTTATCATTTTCTGTGACTTTCTCTATTTTATGATCCCACCAGTTTTTGCTTACAGGCAAATGATATTTTTTGCAGATCTTCCAAAGTATGCTACTTTGTCATGCCGCTGCTTGTAGTCAGTCTGTGCAATTTTCTTGCAACAGCTTACCAGGTGGTCCACTGTTTCTTCAGCTTCTTTGCATAGGCGGCACTTACTGTCTGTTGCTGTCTTCTCAATTTTGACTTTGTATGCATTTGTCCTTAAGGCTTGGTCTTGTGCAGCCAGAATTAGTCCCTCGGTCTCTTTCTTCAATTTTCCTGCTCTTAGCCATTGCCAGGTTTTATTATTATCTGCTTTCCCAGCTATTTTTTTCATGTATTGGCCATGTAGTGCTTTGTCTTCCCATGCCTCTATTCTGTTCTTCATTTGGTCTTTCTTGTGGGCCAGTTTGGTCTCTCCAGTAGTCAGTAAGCCTTCCTGATATACTAATTTCAGTGCATCTTCATCATTGTTCTTCAGATATTCTTCCAAAGCCATTTTTTCTTCTTCAACCATCTGATGTACTTGTAGCATTCCACGCCCACCTATTTGCCTTGGTAGATAAAGTCTGTCAATGTCACTGCGTGGATGAAGGGCATGATTCATTGTCATTATTTTTCTGGTCTTCCTATCCATTGCTTTTAGTTCTGCTTGAGTCCAGTCCACTATTCCAGCTGTGTACCTAATGACTGGAACTGCCCAGGTGTTGATTGCCTTTATGGTATTTCCTCCATTGAGTTTGGACTTTAAGATCTTCTTCACTCTCTTGATGTATTCACCTCTAATCTTTTTCTTGACTTCAGTGTGCTTGATGTTGTCAGCTTGAAGGATACCCAAGTATTTGTAGTAATCTTCCTCATCCAGACTCTTAATGCTATTTTCGTGGGACATTTTGATTCCTTCAGTTTTCACTACTTTTCCTTGTTTGATAGTAAGTGTGGCACATTTGTCCAAGCCAAACTCCATAACAATATCTTGGCTATATATATGGACAGTGTTGTGCAGCGATTCTATTTCAGATGATGTTTTTCCATACAGCTTCAGATCATCCATGCAAAGGAGATGGGATAGTCTGGTAGATGTTTTTGATGTTTGATAGCCATGGCCTGAGTTATTCAGTATTGTTGACAGAGGAAACAGTGCAATAACAAATAGTAATGATGACAATGAATCTCCTTGAAATATTCCTCTCTTGATATTAACCTCTCCCAGTCTCTCACCATTGATCTGCAATTGTGTCTTCCATTGTGCCATCAATCTTTGTATTATTAATATTATTATTATTATTATCTTTTATTCATTAGACATGAACCTCAGTCAACTGAACATTCAAATTGGCTGGCGATTATTATTATTATTATTATTATTACTATTATTATGGATCATCGCACAGTCAGCCAGATGTTCAGACTGGATTTGACATTTTGTCTACCTATCGAGTCCTTACCTAGGACCTGGGATAGGCAGATGTGGATGTTTGATGGTATTACAGATATTGTCGCAGGATGGAAGCAGTTCCTAGTAAGGCCGCCTTTTGCAATTGACTAATAGTGAATTTGTCAATGCCAGTGGTGTTCAAGTGGTGCTCCAGTTGTTTTGGGATTGCATCCAAGGAACCTATGACTATTGGTACTACCCTTGCTTGCTTTTGCCACAGTCTTTCTATTTATTATTATTATTATTATTATTATTATTATTATTATTATTATTATTATTATTACTTCTGTGTGGCATGCAGGTCCAGCATCCAGATTTCGTTTACATTAGCTTCTCCTGCTCAAATTTTAATATTATTTTTTTAAAGGGTAGAATTGAACAAGAAACACACTAGTGTTTAAATTGCTAGTGGCAATTTAAACCATCCCTCTCTACAATAATTGAATAATGTCCTCAGGATTAGAACACTGCATCAAAATCCAAAGGCAATTGGAAAAAAGAACAGAACAGAAGTAGGCATCTGCTGTAGAATTTCTCCACACTGCATATTTCTTTTCATCATCTTTTCCTCTCATTTGATAAGCTGACTGAACAGACTAAAGACATTCCACAAAATCACCAAGTTATCAGAAGTGAGAGAAGCAACTGAGCCAGACCAGATGGACACTACATGAATTAATGAAACTCTCCTTTCTTATTAGAGTGTACAATAACAATAACCTTGAAGCCTAACAGATTTTTTTCTCTCTCTCTTTTTATACTAAAGAAAACTAACAGATAACATCTTGATCTTTTTTCCCCTTGCTTCCTCCTGTCTATCAAGGCTAGATATATAAATGTTTATATAATTATCACTGAATTCCCTTTTTCAGGGTCATCTCCATATTCCTCCATAACTTTCAAGGCACTGCAATGTGTAAAGGGTTAGGTTTAATTTTTAGATAAGTGTCACCTCAATTATCATGGTAGAGCTTTTATTTTTATTATACACACACACACACACACACACACACACACACACACAACTGGGATGTGTTTGAACCATGCAATCCAAAACAGCTTGGGAAGTAACATAAAGGAACTTCTTAGTCCTGCAAAGGAATTGTTAAAACTGAGCAATGTTTGGATGGGAAAGAGTTGCATTTGCCTTTCCACAGTATAATCTGTGGGGTTTGATGTGACATAAACATTTAAACAACTGCCTTGCAAGTATCATAATAAAAGGAGATCCTTATCTATAACTTTATCAGAGGTCCAAACTCCTCCCTATTCCCTATCTTTTTTACCCCATGGTTACATGAAGGGAAAGAGAGGGAGAGAGAAAGACATTGTCTGAGTAATGATCTGGAATATGCAACTCTATGCGGGAAACATGAGAATTTTACTTGCCTCAAGCTGGATCTGCTGAGAAGAAATATGGCCAAACACATTCAGATAATTT